GTTGTTCGGTTTAGGGTTTAGGGTTCAGGGTTCAGGGTTCAGGGTTTAGGGTTTAGGGTTTAGGATTTAGGGTTTAGGATTTAGGGTTGCGGTTGAAGGCCAAAGGGACTCACTTCATGGGGGGGGGTACTTTTTCAGGGCTCAAGGTTGAGTGCTGAAAGGGGTTGCCTATCTGTTGGGGCACAGTGCAGTTTGAGATAGAGTAAAGTACATAAGCTAGCTTATGTACACTTTCTACACCCCAAAATAAGTTCACTGATATGTCTTTCGACCAGGATTAAGTTTGGGGGATTGGGTTTACGGTTTAACGTTCAGGGTTCGGGGCTACTTCAGTGTAACGCGAAGAAGCGGCTGAACCAAGTTCCCGGACCATCAGCACCTACTTAGGGGCTGAGTACCCTAGCCCAAAAGAGGTTAACCTTTTGAATTATAGTAGGATTATAAGAGCCCCAAAAGCTTACAGGTTACCTACTCAGCCACTAAGCCTAGGGTTGATGTGCATCGGCGACAGGAATGGCAACTCCCAGTAGCTGAAGCAACGACTACGACCACGAGCCTCGGATTGGGGTTTAGGGTTTAGGGTTTAGGGCCCTACTGTAAACCCCCCAAAAGCTCAGGGCATCATCCTCTAAAGGCAGGAAGCCATGACCTATTTGGGCTGGAAAGTCCAAATGGAGGCATAAGAAGGCCCTTTTCTTGTAACCCAAACTCTGCTGATCAGCTGGGAAGCGGCACTGCATAAGGCCCCTAAGCCCTGTAAACACTACTTGGGGTGTTTGGGAGTGCTTAGATCCTATGCCCTCCACCCTAAAAAAAATCCTAAATTCAGCTGAGCCCTCACGGCTCCACGTAATGTAAGGGCCTTACTAATTAGAAGAGGATTTTGGCCTCCTCTATGGTATATTTATAATAAGGAACCTAACGAATAATATAGGCTATGGTAAATTATTCAATCTTCTATATTATACAACATACAACACCTACTGCAGGGTCTAAAAATGTTTAGGGCTTAGGGCGTCTACAATCCATACCTGTATCTAAATTCTACAGACTAGTAGGTTATGACCCACTAATTATAAGGTAAAACCCTGAAACAGATAGGGTTTTGGATCCCCGGGTAAATCCACCTTGAACTATTTGGAGCTTCCGTGCAGCTAAGGAGCAGAATGTTCGAAAGAGCCGTGGTTAGCAGCGTGGGGTCAAGGAAGTCGATCTTGCCTCCAACCGTTAAGGTTTAGGGTTCAGGGCTTAGGGTTTAGGGTCTAGGGTAAGCTAGGGCAGTCCTCACAAGGATTATACCAGAGCTGCATACGTGTTTACTATGGCTTCATGAGGCTCTTACATAGTTTAAACAAGGGTCCAGCAAGCACGGAATTGGGGCTTGCGGGTGTTTGTCTTCAGGGTGCCTGCTTCGGGTTTTAAGAGAGGGTGTTACGGCGCTGCAATGCGCAAGGTACACATAACCAACGAAACATGTAAGGAAACGAAACTGCGACAAATATCGCTTGGTGCTATCATGCAAGGGTGATTCAATGGACAGACATTAGTACCCTTGAGAAGCTGCACGCCTCTGAAACACGGAGCAGCTTGATACGATTCTTTCGAAAGTTTGGTGTTTTGGGCCATCAGTCGAAATCCTTGAAAGCCATTGCACTGTTTTCGAACGATCTACCGACTGAGCAGGGCAAAGACTCTGGGATTTGGCTAGATTCTCTCCTTGGCTTTTAGTGAGACATCGCCAAGTTACAAGCTTGCCGTAGGTTGACATTGCATGTCTGATCTCCTGTCGGCCTTGAACAGCAAAGCGGACTTCCACACCCCGTTGATGCCGTGCTCGATAAGCGGACTCCTTTGCCGATTTGTTGTTGTTGGTGGTGGTAGTGGTGGTGGTGGTGGTGGTGGTGGTGGTGGTGGCGGGGACGGCGGCGACTATTTAGACGCTGGTGTGTCCGTTTTGCTTCTTAACTTCGAGATAGCTGTATCATAGGATCGATTGCAGCTGAATGTGTTGCTGCTTTGTGGTTGCTGTAGTCGTAGTTGTTGGTACGGTTGTTGTCGTGGGTACTAGTGACAACATTGTTGAGAATGCCGTTGGCGTTGCTGATATTGCTGCTGCTTGTTGGTGTTGCTCCTGGTACTGGTGGTGCTTGTGCTGCGGCTGCTGCTGCTGTTGCTGCTGCCGTTTGTCTTACTGTCGCTCTTGCGATCGCTGACGATGCTGCAGTATTGGTTCATCGGTGTTGGCGGCACTTTGTTCTCATTTACTCCCAGACATAGACTGTATGGTGCCGGCGGATTGCAATAGACATGCCCACTGCATGCCGGAATGCGCAGACTGTAAGCATACTGCATCCGGGGCATGAACAACAATGACCGCAACAAACAGCAATATGGAACTTGAGACCTGCAATGTCCTTAACTCTCTCTTACTCCATGCAATTCTTCGCCCGGGCTCCTCGCCATTGCTGAGGCTGTAGTCATAGTGAAGAACTGGTCGGGTATTCCAGCGCTGCATGGCGCGTACGCGGGCATAGCACACGACTCCCTTGAAGTTCATGTTGTGCGTGTTACGGTACTCCAGTTCGATTGCCAGTTCCAGGCCGGTCAGACGTGCGACAGGGCCCGCAGACCCAGCGGAGATCCCAGGATCAGTCCACTGCAAGTCCACTCCTGCACACCGCAGCCACTCCTCTATAGATGCTCCAATTCCTAATCGGGATTCCTGGGGCTGGAAACGGGAGGAGCCGCCAATGAGACACTCGCGACCCTGGTCGTCTTGGATGACAGTCAAGATCCCTTCATCTTGCATGTCATTCCTTAGTTGCTGAGTTCCTAAGAAACAGAAAATTAGACTTTCAGTTCTATGTAAGATTATCCCAAAGAGTTTGAAGTATCGCTAATCACTCGGCTACCAAGATTCCAGGAGAGGCCATCAGAGCTTTCCTGGTTGGAAGAGAAGCGGGTGCTCCCACGCATTCGATCATTGCCCAAAACTCCCATGTTGCTGGCCAAAAACCTGGCTTATAGCTTACAGTCCGTTGCTTTAAACTAGTTACGACTAAGTACCTTTACAACCTATAAACCCTAAAGCATAAACCATCTAACCCCCAAAACCTTTGAACCCTAAGACCACAAGAACCCTAAACTCTAAACCCTAAACCCTAAACCCTAAACCCACAAGTGAAGCTTCAAAATTGTCCCAAAGCGATAGTTAGAGGCCCGTGCGTCAGGAGGAACCTTTGCCTGGGCTTGGAAGTAACCAGGGAGAAACAAGTATGGACTTTTATTAATAATGGTTCCTTTAAGGAACAAGTCCCAAACAAGTATTAAACTATGGTACTCCAAAGCCCAGGTGCTGATATTGAAGATGCTCGAACTGGCGAAGAAGAAGAGGGCCACAGCACAGAAGGCCTGCATCGCTCAAGGCCCGAAATGGCGATTTGAGAGCATTGGGTTTAGGGTTTACCTGGACCCTAAAGAACCTACCATTTTAGGGCTTTATATTATGAAGTCTTCATTTATATAAGGCCTTTTTAGGTTATTTGGGGTTAAGGTAGGGGTGGATGACAGGTAACCCCCCTGCAAGTTTCCAACAGCGAGCCTTGCTTTCCAATAGATGCCATGACGATCGAGAGTATTCGCGAAGTGACGCACTTTTTCCGGGCCGCTCGTGCACCTTGATGGCGCACAGAGCCCCAGTTACTGTGCACATCGCAGCAACGATGCCCATGGCTTCCTGGTAGCTTAGCTGGTGCCGTTGATTGAAGCTGCCGGTAAACATACGCCCGTTGAGGCCGAAGGCTACTATTGTGACCGAGACGAAGTATCCGGCAGTATTAACCATTTGAAGCAAAGTTTGTGCGCGACCACGATGCTCCTCCGCCTCTTCTTTTGCATACTCCACCATGAGCCTGCTTTCAAGGCAGAGCAAGCCGAAGAAATAGGGGGGACTTCAGAAGTAGAATAAGGTTTTGGGGTAAGTATGATCACACTATAGGCGAACCCAGGAATCAGTAGTTGTAGCTGATCAAGCTTGTGTAGGTACCGAGGAAGAGGCTTCCCTTGGAGCAGTTTCTACTTTCACACTTTGAGCAAAGGAATGCCAAGACTGCCACCTAGCACCTCTACAAATGGCAATCACATATTTGTGTAGGTCTATATGCACGTATGCATGCATGGATCATGGTCGCTTTCCTGTTTGTTGAACTACGACAACACTGGCAGACAGAGCAGCCCATTGGCCGCTGCACCGGCAGCAGTGATGCCCAGTTGCACAACGCAGACGCAGGCCATAAGGGGCACGTAGAAGTCGACCGCATCGGGATTGCAAGGGGCTTGCTCGAAAAGGTACCGGTCTTCCTCTTAGGGGCTGAGTACCCTAGCCCAAAACAGGGTTTAGGGTTTAAGGGTTTAGGGTTTAGGCTTTAGGGTAAACCTTTTGAATTATAGTAGGA